TAATAACATTAATAATATGATTAAAAATTGCAGCCTTGCATTGTGATAAATAATTGCTGGTTAATATATATTTATTATAATATAAATAATAACTAATAAACTAATAAATATATATTTATTATAATATAAATAATAACATTAATAATATGATTAAAAATTGCAGCCTTGCATTGTGATAAATAATTGCTGGTTAATATATATTTATTATAATATAAATAATAACTAATAAACTAATAAATATATATTTATTATAATATAAATAATAACATTAATAATATGATTAAAAATTGCAGCCTTGCATTGTGATAAATAATTGCTGGTTAATATATATTTATTATAATATAAATAATAACTAATAAACTAATAAATATATATTTATTATAATATAAATAATAACATTAATAATATGATTAAAAATTGCAGCCTTGCATTGTGATAAATAATTGCTGGTTAATATATATTTATTATAATATAAATAATAACTAATAAACTAATAAATATATATTTATTATAATATAAATAATAACATTAATAATATGATTAAAAATTGCAGCCTTGCATTGTGATAAATAATTGCTGGTTAATATATATTTATTATAATATAAATAATAACTAATAAACTAATAAATATATATTTATTATAATATAAATAATAACATTAATAATATGATTAAAAATTGCAGCCTTGCATTGTGATAAATAATTGCTGGTTAATATATATTTATTATAATATAAATAATAACTAATAAACTAATAAATATATATTTATTATAATATAAATAATAACATTAATAATATGATTAAAAATTGCAGCCTTGCATTGTGATAAATAATTGCTGGTTAATATATATTTATTATAATATAAATAATAACTAATAAACTAATAAATATATATTTATTATAATATAAATAATAACATTAATAATATGATTAAAAATTGCAGCCTTGCATTGTGATAAATAATTGCTGGTTAATATATATTTATTATAATATAAATAATAACTAATAAACTAATAAATATATATTTATTATAATATAAATAATAACATTAATAATATGATTAAAAATTGCAGCCTTGCATTGTGATAAATAATTGCTGGTTAATATATATTTATTATAATATAAATAATAACTAATAAACTAATAAATATATATTTATTATAATATAAATAATAACATTAATAATATGATTAAAAATTGCAGCCTTGCATTGTGATAAATAATTGCTGGTTAATATATATTTATTATAATATAAATAATAACTAATAAACTAATAAATATATATTTATTATAATATAAATAATAACATTAATAATATGATTAAAAATTGCAGCCTTGCATTGTGATAAATAATTGCTGGTTAATATATATTTATTATAATATAAATAATAACTAATAAACTAATAAATATATATTTATTATAATATAAATAATAACATTAATAATATGATTAAAAATTGCAGCCTTGCATTGTGATAAATAATTGCTGGTTAATATATATTTATTATAATATAAATAATAACTAATAAACTAATAAATATATATTTATTATAATATAAATAATAACATTAATAATATGATTAAAAATTGCAGCCTTGCATTGTGATAAATAATTGCTGGTTAATATATATTTATTATAATATAAATAATAACTAATAAACTAATAAATATATATTTATTATAATATAAATAATAACATTAATAATATGATTAAAAATTGCAGCCTTGCATTGTGATAAATAATTGCTGGTTAATATATATTTATTATAATATAAATAATAACTAATAAACTAATAAATATATATTTATTATAATATAAATAATAACATTAATAATATGATTAAAAATTGCAGCCTTGCATTGTGATAAATAATTGCTGGTTAATATATATTTATTATAATATAAATAATAACTAATAAACTAATAAATATATATTTATTATAATATAAATAATAACATTAATAATATGATTAAAAATTGCAGCCTTGCATTGTGATAAATAATTGCTGGTTAATATATATTTATTATAATATAAATAATAACTAATAAACTAATAAATATATATTTATTATAATATAAATAATAACATTAATAATATGATTAAAAATTGCAGCCTTGCATTGTGATAAATAATTGCTGGTTAATATATATTTATTATAATATAAATAATAACTAATAAACTAATAAANATTATATAAAAGATTATATTTAATTTATAATTTTTAGTAATAAATAATTTAAAATTTATATATAAATTGTCTCAAAGATGCTTACATATAGCTACATAAATTTATATTTATAATAATTAAATTATTAAAGGAAAGTGTTGAAAATTTTATTATAATTATTCTTGTATATCTTAAAATGATATATTCACCTATTTATTAATGCCATCTTACGGAAAATTTACCAATTAGAGGGATATAAATAACCCTTATATTAGATAAATATTAAGTGACCGTTGGGAATTTTTGAATGTTAAGATCTGCGAATTTTCAATTAAAGTCATTTTGAATTAGACAATGTTCTCTGCTCTAAAAATAGTTACAATTCTCTTAGTGAAGGGAAGAGTTGAGATTTCTAAGAGAAAATCTGGACGTTTGCCATCATTTTTTCGTTTTTGAATAGTTAATAAAGGCTTTTAAATACCATTGGAGAAGCTTTTCAATCTGTGTAAACAGATGTAAAGAAAGTTTTATATGCATTTTCTTCTCTCGATTTTGTTCAATTGTTAAAATAAACGCATATTTAATATGAGTTTACTGAGCTGTAGCATCCTTAAAACTGCATCCGGCTCCTCGGAACGACCATTGACCTTAGAATAACCAATCGATAGCCCATCTTCTGAAGGGAACTGATAGATTGAATGTGTCAGCACCTAAACTTCTCTTTCTCGATTGTACAAGTAGATGAACTTCCAATTCACCTTTTCATGTTGAGTCCTTTACCATGACCTAGAGAAGAACTGACATCGATCGATGATCCAAACCCACCCATGTCGATCTGACACGTTTGTGGATGTTGAATACTCCACATCCTGTCAATAGTAATTCGTTTACGTCTATCCCTCCTCATTTTATTCCTACTAGAATAACCTTATCTCTATTAGAAACAGTGAAAAATCGTGTATTAAATAAAGATCAGATAATTAAATCGATTCTAAAATTGAAAACAACAATATCTTCCCTATTTTCATCAATCTTTCGTCTCCGGAGTTTGCTCCCGAAATGGTGTTTTCACTGCATAACAATCGAGTTATACAGGAAAGCCGTCTTTACCGGGATTATCATTTCATTAATATAAAGATGAAATTTAAATAAATTTTTTCAGTTTTCATCGTGTATTTCATTGTAATGGTAACCATAGCAACCATTTCATCATCAGGGACATCCACTAGAGGAGCTACAATCGCTACCTTTTCCTCACAGAATTTGGGCTAGCAGACCACGGCGTGACTCTTCTTAGCTGATATTCTAGACAATTTTTTTATTTTTTTAAGTGACCTTGGATCATATTTTTCAGTTTTTATCAATCGAAAGATTCTAGAAGAGTGCCAATAACAAAATATGCACTTCTGATTTTAATTTATCAATAATTTTTTTTTTGTTTTTTTGTGCCGAGGAGCAGGGAGATTGGATTGATGTATCATAATATCAGGTACCGATTGGACTGCGACTTCATCATTGAATCATATTCTCTACGGAAGCATTAGGTCAGGTAAGAAAATAAATGAATTTCTGCATTACTTGTTTAGTAAATGCTGTTATCATTAATAAAATATATCGAGATTTGCAAGCGCATAACATTTTCCGTCATGCAAAAGTCATATCGTGAATGCATTTACGCATATCCTAGAGGAAAAAAACACATCAATAAAATGCTAATAATGGCATCAAAATATTACATTTTATTAATAAAATAAAGCATATTTTGGATTAAATTTTGGTTTAAAGTCTCGGTAATCGTTATTTTTAAAGGTGAAGAATGTCGTTTCATCATTTGGAAAATTGATAAATCTTAAGTTTGGCAATAAAATGTTGTTATGCAACATTAACTGCGAGAAAGTATTCTTAATTGCGAATAGTATAAACCGATCTCTCTTAAGGTTAAAATCTTATGAAGGTCATCGACATCTCAACTGGTGTCGTTTACCGTTGCTATAGCAACCAAAGATGCGGAGGAGAACAAACGATCGATAATTCGGGATGTTACAAATAATACAGAGAGTGAACCGCAGTTGAAGTAGTACCGTAAACTGCCACCGGCGGAGCCACTTAACACGATTTCGTCTTAAGATCCTCGAACGTTTCGAAGAGACAATTGAATTTTTAAGCATCCTTGCTGAAAAATTGTTTTTTTTTTAACATATTAAATGTCATTATTTATATTTAAATAAGAAAAATAATAACTTGAATAATATGAAGAACTTATGTTTAATAAATTTAGAAATAGAATTATTTTAGATAAAAAAAACTTTGCTTAATTATAAATAATTTTTTTTTGCCATTTAAAAAAAAAAAATATATATATATAGTTAATATGTATATATCTATATATATTGGAATTTTAAAGGAAGATAAGAATTTTTCTAGTTGTGTCATTTCTCATTAGATGTCGCCACTTTGATTTTCGTCACGTGACAGGTGACGCATCTCTTTGTCCATCCTCTTTCTGCTCCTTCTTCACAGATTTATCCAAAGCAGATGTTCAAACAGGGATTAATTTATGGCAAGACAATCCCGTTAGAAATTTAAAAAACCATCACAACACGTTAAATTCGAGCATCTTACAGTAAAGAAAAGAATTAAAAAGATGCTCGAAATGACCTAAACTTTAGTTAAACGTGAAATTACTTATCGTTTGATAAAGGTTAAAGATAAAAGTCGAGTTTCTACGGAAGCGAACATTTTTTATTATCTACGAAAAACGATTGAGAAATGCTTAAATAAAAAATTAATTTTCGTCAATTGTTTAAACTGTAAATGTCACAATTTGATAGAATGAAAATCACCTCGGCGACGGTTGTTAAGGTGCACGTCTACTTCACAGAACGGGGAGGGGAAAGCAGAATGGAGGTGGAGAAATCGACCCGACGTCCGCAGATGACGTCAGCAGCTGGATGATGCTTAGTGTGAGCGAGGTAGACAAAAGGTCCGGTTAGGGGTTTTACGTTTTAGGCCTACGTACGATTCGGGATGCAATATGCTCTCTTACAAATTATATAAGGCTACAAGATAATGGAAAGAGTAGAAGCAAAGGTAAGATAGAAATGAATTTTTTTTTTTTACAATCCTCATCGATACGTGACCGTTCCGAAGTGATGCTTAAATGATCTCGCACATGTTTTACTTAATTGAAATTTTATCATTTAGAAATAATTTATATAATTATATAAATTAGAGACGAGAGAAAATAGTTATGGATACATATTGGATAGGTATAGATAGTGTATAGATAGGTCATGGTGAAGAGTGAGTCATCCAAGAAAATTTCGATCGATAGGTCGATTGTAATACTTCGGAAAGTAAAACAATTGTAAGAGTAATACATCAAAATCAACAAAAATATCGGAAATTCCTCGATAGAATTTCCTCCTTTGCTACAAGCGATGATGTTGCTACTCCTCTTCATCCTCCGGGTATCGGCGAGATGCTGCTCTCAAGAAAATTCTTACGGAGTACTCGATTTATTTGCTCTTAATTAGATTTTTCAAAAATATTTCCGGATTAATATCGATTCTTTTTGCTTTCTCGACATATTTTAGTCTGCATTTCAAAAGTAGTGATTCGTGATTGGAATTTTTTTACACGCTTACCACGTGATTTTCCACCACGTTCCTTACATTTATCGTAGTTGATCTCCGGCTTCATTTTCCAATTTAACTATGGGACTTTTATTAAAAAAAATAAAAGAATTATGTTAAGCAGGGATAGCTTTTTTAGCAAACGATACGCATTGCCATAACATTTGGTTACCTCGGCAACTGTCAGATAATATCTTGAAGGAGACTTCTTCTAAATCAATGAAAGGATAACCTAAGTTAAAACAATATTTTTCATATTTTAATTACGTTTATTTTAAAACAATTTTTTTTATCGCAGTCGATAGCATAATAAATATTTAATTTTCATATGAAATTTAATCACAAACTTCGCCCATTTTTAATATTTAACTGCAAAGAATAGTCATCATCGAACTTTAAAAATCAATTTAGAAACATTACAGAATTTATAATGTTAATTAGGATATTAAATTAAAATTTTCAAATTTACAAAGTCAGGTATTCGTAAAGGTGGGTTAGATATTCTATATACTTGAAGAGCGCATGCACGAAATAGCGGACAGTACGTTGACACACCGGACAAGATCCGGGTTTTACATTATTTTCTTCTCGACTTACTGACCTTTGACACACGTTATTAAGTTGCGCGATTTTTCACTTTACTCTTCCTACTTAAATGCTACCAGACTTATCAATTTTCACAGCACTAAACCCCCTTTTACAACGAAGTCTCTATTCCTTGTAGCTATTTAAGAATCTTCATCAAGTAACTCATATTTTACACACCTACACAAAAGGGCAACATCATTTATAGTGTATATAAAATACGCTTTTCATACATTTATTGGGAGGAGAGATTAGAAATATAGATTATTTTACTTTCCACTGTGTTTTTTCCATTTTATGACAATCACTTAACGCACTTAAGTGCAAGAGTTGATGATAAAAACACACTTTCGTGTATTATGAGTCATATAAATGTAGAATGAATAGCATTTTTTTTTTTTTTCAAATGGAAGCATTGTGATAGCCAAATTTCGTCCTTGAGCCTTAAAAAGGACCCCGAACCCCTAAGGCAATGGTGCACGTGCTATGGATAAACACCGTATAATTATCAGAGAACAGATGGTAACATAGACGTGGTGATGGAGATGAGAAAAACTAAACTGGTGTAAAATGGGAGCTTTGATTTGTTTTATTTCACCGTTGCATAATATCTTTTTATAAAATACATCTTAAAATTTTTATCATTTATGTAACCTTGAACGTGAATGGATCTTTTCATAAGTAATTTTTTTTTTCCTTTCATCCTTGATTATATGCATATGTTACACTCGTGTTTTATTGTTCCTTTCTAGAGCTTATCTTCTAGATATGTTTTGTCTTCTTTGTGTAATGAAACCATTTATAATCCATATCTTGTTCCTCAAAGTAAGGCATACGTTTTCGTAGAAAGAAATAATCTTTTATAAAAGAAAAAATAACGAATTTAATTAAAAAAAATGCATAAAGTTTGAAGAAGTATTTTATTTTTCAAACATTACAACTGATAAGAAATAATCTGCAATTTTTTATATGTACTTAGAACTACTTTCAATTTATGATTTAATCCTTATAATGTTTAAATATTTCATTTTCTTAAATTCTTTTTCCCTTTAAAATCAATTTCCTGCTTGTATTTTTAAGTTGAAATTATCTAAAAATCAGTTTATTTCTCGAAAAATATTGTCTGAAAATGGGGTGCGCGCATTATATTCCGGCAATTACGACTTGTATATGTATTATACGTATCTATAACCTATAGATGTGCCTCTGTATATAGTATAATAGCTTTTCACCTTAGTTTCTTTCGTATTATTAATATTAATTGCCACTCCTCTATCTTCTTTCTAACAGAACGGGGTGTGTCTACTCTTTGGCAGCATCCAAATTTGATTTTTTTTGTAGATGAAACAAATATTCGACTTTAATTAAAATCATCATTAGATTCTGCCTTGATGTCTGGATATTATTAATTTTGTTTATTTACATCCCGAAATTAGGTCAGTCCTGTTTCTATTAGCATAATAATAGAAGCGATGCCATTTGGCGTGTTTGGTTGTCTGTCTGTTTCGCGATCGAAAACGCAATTAAAAAAAATAAAATAGAAGAAGAAAAAAAAAGAAATTTAATCACTTTCGCTTCGACATGACTCAAAATTATATTAAGAAAATATATTAATTAATTAAATATGAAGGAGTAAATAAAATTCCCAACCTTTTGGCAATTTGAATTTCATTATCACCAAGTTGGCATCTTACAAAAATTAAATTATCGATGCAGAAAGAATTTCAATAGAGTGGAAATTTTGCTGGTTAAATATATTAAGAGATGCGTACGTTTCGTTTCCGCTCCAAGTGTTTCAAGTCTAGTTTCGTGATGGCGTATTTCCTCATTTTAATATATTAATTCTTCTAAACGTTTTCCTCCTCGACCAATGGATCGCGGTTCCCCAATAGCTATTGAGATCTATAGGGAAATATAATTCGTGTTTACTAGTTGAGAAACAATATCATTGAGATACGATGATTGAAAAGAGCTACTGGAATTGAGGGATCATTATTTAGATTTATTGGTTTGAAAATAGGGTTGAGATATACGAGACTGAGAAAACACTATAGGGAAGTAATATTTAGGGTATATCAGACTGAGAATATTACTATTGTGAACTGATATTGGGATCTATCGACTGGGAAACATTACTAGCATCTATTTGTTGATTGAGGAACATTACTGGAATATATTACTTGTAAAGCATTATCGGGATGTATCTGTAGGGGAATACAATGGAGATGTAATGTTTCGAAAACACCGTTGGGATATACCAGATGGAAAACACACTTATAAGGAAACACTATCGGGATCTATCGATTGAAACACCGTATACCGAGTAATACTAGGATCTTTTTATAAGTTAAAAAGGGATCTCCAGCTAAGAAAACAACGTGAAACAGTGATTTTAAGAGTATTTTTATAACTTTTTTCTGTTTAAAGTGAGCTTATTTACGATAGAAAAGTTACAATTGTTGGTCCGTATCTAGAAAAATCATTCCAGATGGATGCATTTCCTTTAATATATTTGAAAATTTGATACGCTAGTGTTTAGTTTATGAGCTTCCGAGTACAGATGTTGTTCCATCACTTTCGATGTTTCTCTAGTGATAAACATTTTATACTAAGGAATATATTTTCCAGTCATTACTTTGAAAAAAAAATAATAATAACATTTGCATCTCGGTAACTGTTATTTTAATCGATTCTCTTTTATTTTTATTATATTTTTTATGTTCTTAGGTTTCATTTTTGAATTTTAAATTTTTTTATTAAATCACTCGAAAGTTGGGGAAAAATAACTTTAAATTCCGCATAATAAACATCCGGATGAAAGTCGGGAGGATGTAAAACGCCCCCTGGATTATAAAAAAAGGAAGTAATGGGTGGAGTGTGACCGGAAGTTAAATTTTAATGTGGCATATTGAAGATATCGAAAACTTGTAGCTGTCAAAGGTGAGATAATAAATCGCTCCCTTATAATAATTTTAATTAAGATAAAAATCTACTTAAGTTGTTTGTTAACGAACATTTTTTTTTAATGTAAATTAATGGACGCCATTTTCGAGGCGCGTGCAAAATAGTAAAGTAATTAATGCTTTCACTTTTATTGCCCCGAACAAGTGAAAGTGAGTGCACACATATTTTTATTGTTTTTTTTATTTTTTATTGTTCGTGCCACAACAGTTTTGGTCCAATGACGTAAGTAACCGGACGTGATTTATCGCTGTTTGCTTGTCTTCCGTGTTGAAAAGGGAAGAGAAAAGTGAAAAGTTTCTCTCACTTTTAATATATTTTTTTAACAAATAGGAAAAATCCCTTAACTGAATTAATTTTCTCCCTATTTTTTTAAGAGTGTTAATAAAGAAATAATTATTTTACACTTTTCTGTTTGATGATTCACGTGTTACAATTTATTTTGAGTAACCAAAGCTGAATTTAATGATGTATACGTAAGAAGTGAACGCATCTGGCCGGTTTCGTCAGCTGTCCCTTCCCCCCCAAAACATAATCCAGATGTTGTACACTGACAGACTCTATCCCGTTGACAACCGAACCGTCACGCTTTTGTTCCTCCCCATTAGGCCAAAGATGGATGCGAGAAGATTGTCTCTTCATTCTTCTTTTGGTTACTTTTTCTATATATATATATAAAAAAAAAAGAATTATTATTCAGGTAATTTTCGATAGAAATTATATTTTTCCTTTACGAAAATGAACCTTTGACCTCATCGGTGTCGAACTGAAAAGGTTAGTCACCTCATAACCATACGAGGGCGCTCAACCTCGTTTTACGCAACAATACCTTACGTGAATGGGCGGGTTTTGGACTCGTGCCAAAAATTTGAATCTTCATTGTCTTTCCCAAATCGTCTCCTTTAGTCTGGTGTAATTTTTTTTGGGTGGGCAATTATTGCCATATTTTATCTACATCAGTAGAATTTTTTTTTAAAAATGGAATAATAATTCATTAAACCATACTTACACGAGAATTTATTGCCGATAACAACAGATTTCAATTAAAAATTCGGCCGTATCTTTTAAGTTTGATGGAAGAAACACTTATTTTATCATAAGAACATAACTCTTGAGTGATATTGCTTCTTTTGATAGCGATATATATATAAAAATATTGCTGAAAATGCACATATTTGACTCTATAGATAAAGACAAGTGTTTCGAATGTGCTACTGTAACACGCTTCTAAGTGTTATATGATCAATAACAAAAATCAATATTAAAAAAATAGAACATAAAACTACTTTCTTACATAAAAATTAATACGTTATTTTATTTAATTAACACGAATTAAGCTTAATTAAAACGTTAAATGAGATACGTTCACATTGTTTAATTGAATAATTTTACTAATTAAGATTAAAGCTCTATTGATTAAAATAAACTATTATAAACAGTTATTATTTATATTATATGTATTTATTTAAATAAATTAATTTATAATTATAATAATTTGTTTAAATTTTTAAAGCATAATGCATATAAATTAAAGACGTTTTTATATTAATTTTTAGTACATGTGCGCGTTATATACGGAATTATATTAAAGAAGACTTTTTATAGTTTATATATCTATTTTTATTATAGAAAAATATTTAAAAAATATATATATAAATACAATATATATTTCTTTATGATATTTTTCCAATATCCAAAGTTTGTTTTAATCTCAGACAGTTTTATATTTACAATTTATTGCGGCGACAAAGGAGATCAGATAACATAAGAGATGTCTTATATGTAATCTCAGATTTCCTTTCTGATTACTCAGAGTATGTTCAAAAGATTTTTGTCTGATGGATATTATTGTTGTAGCACTTCCTTACAACTTTAAAACAGGAATTTTGATAAGTCTTTCCTCTTTTATCACCTACTTTCGTCGTAAGTTTAGTAAGAAAATATACAGACTCACTATCATTACTTTTATTATTAGTATTATTATTATTACGAAGGATGTTAAAGTATATTTAACTTTTATGAATGTAAAAAATATTTTTATATGTTTTAAGAAGAATAATCTATAACTTTCGAGTGTTTTTTTGTGATTATTTTAAAGTAAAAGTTAATTTTTTTTTAAGTTGAAAGGGACGTAGTATAAACCGATCTCTCTTAAGGTTAAAATCTTATGAAGGTCATCGACATCTCAACTGGTGTCGTTTACCGTTGCTATTTATAATTATTTTAAAATTCTCAACTCTTAAAGCATTTTAAGTCCTAGAACAGTTGTTACTTTAGCATTTAATAATAGTTATAAAATTTATGGCATGTAAAAATATATTAAATTTGCATGTTGATTATCAATTTTTCTGAATTTAAAATTGGAAAGGGTATTTAATTATGATTAAGTTTAATTTTATAGTTCTTAAAAAGCATTGTTCTAATGATTCAATTTATTCGTTATCTCTACATTCACCACCTGCCTGTAGTACAACAGCTTACCTTTTATATAAAAGGCCAGGTGAAACCATTTGAAAGTTTAATTTGATATAAAATTTTTGCAACATTATTTACTTGATATTTTATATTTTAGAATATTTTATTTAAAAAAAAAAAACACAGAAAAAATTAAATTATTTCAATGTTTTCTAATTTATTATTAGTAGAATTATTGTATAAATTAAAAAGGATCACACATTATTCATGATTAGTTTGTATATGCATATGTAATGTTCTATGGCATACTTGTTGGAGTCTGCTATAACATATAACAGGCCCTTCTCTCCTATCCAATAATGTAGTAATGTGAGGCCCTAAGCTGTAGAATCATAATAATCTTTAGATTGTTTGGCTTATGTATAAATCAAGCTCTGTTCTATGGAATAAATAGAAAAGTAAAGAAAAATGTATTTTTAGTGTTTGTCAGGTAAAAANGTGCGGTGACTTAATCGAAATTATTTTATTTTTATCATTTTTTTTGTATTTTTCTCTGATGATAAATTGATATTTTGATAAAAATAACTTCATTGTCATTCTCTACGGTTACTGTTTTATCGATTTATCAAAAACTTTTTCCAGAATTGTAACAAAAAAATAGAGAAGTTTATTGTAACATTATCAGATTCTTATAAAGAAAAGTAATGAAATCAATACAGACATTTTTTAAATATTAGATATGCGTAATTATAACTTAATTATCTTTATAATTTTTTGGTTAATTTTTATGATTTATATATAAAAATTCGCTTCTAATTCGTCGCATCGTACAAAATTTATCCAGGTTCGAAGTAAGAAAGAAATTAGTAAAAAAAAAAAATAAAAACAAATGCAATCTTTATCATTCTTTTCCTTTTCTCTTAATGGATCGAAGCGAATTTCTTTTTTTTTTTTTTTTTTTTTTTACTTTTGGACGAAGGAAAGAATGTCTCGAACACTTTTCCCCAAAGATTAGATACGTTTCTTAATCTTTTCAGAAGAAAAATAGTAAAGAAACAAGCATATAATATAAGTTTAATTCACTTTGATAATATTTTGATCATAATTTTTGATATTTTTTTAATGGTCTTGCTACTGGCGAACACTTATTACAGAAATATTACATCTGGAATATTGTTCAGCATCACAAAAGATGCTGCTTCATTCGCCTTTATACACAAATTGCTGAGTGTACAGAATGAAATTTTATGTATTATGAAAATGTTTCTTTTTCTTTATAAAAAAAATAATAAACGTATTCAGAAAAATTATTAAATTCTTTATACAGTTAATTCTCTACTTTTGTCGAAAATTTCATCTTTCTAACTTCAATATTGCATTTAAAGAGCGAATGTAAATAATTCACTTTCTCTCCCACTCTCTCTTTTTTTTTTATTTTATTCTATTTTTGTAAGAAAGCTTCCTATTGACTGCTATAAATCTAATATTCTTCATCCACATATACATATAAATCCAAGAGAAAAACTAAAATGTAATCGATTTATTTTGAATTTAAAGAATTGTTCCGGTTTTAATGAATAAAAAGTAAATAAAATGTTAAAAAAATATTTTATAATAAAAATACATTTCATAAATAAACATTAATTAAATATGTTTTTAAAATAAAAATTTTATTATTTATTTTTTTTTTTAAGGTAGGAAGCTGAAGAGCATCCGATTTTAATCTTCAGCTTCAAAACTTATAATTTATTTATTTATTTTTTTCGAAAAGATTACTTAAAAATAAGAATAAAAAATCGTTTGTAAAGAAAAATAAAAATAAAAGAATTATTGAATCGCTACAACATAATAGAATTTCGATGTAAATTATTTTATTTCTAAAGGAAGAAAAAAAGAAATCTGCTTTTCCTTGTTTTCCCAGATGGATTTTAAAGTTACAAAATTCGATATTTTTGCATCTGTTACTGTTTTATTTTCCTTATTTTTTCTTTCTCTTATTGTAGTTTGGTAAAATTTATAGAAATTTTTATATTTACTGGAAAAAAATAATGCTTAGAAAAGGTTAAAATCCATTTTCATCTGTTACATGTGAACCGTAAGAGAACACACGTTCATAAAAATCTTAAACATTTGAAACGAGTTACGATCCATTCAGAATATAAAATACATTTTTATTATCTTGATTTTCATGTTTTTCTTTGGTTGGATAAATGTAAATGATAACATTTCTTAAGATATGAGCCGTGCAGCCATATCTACTCGTTATAGTACTTGTTATAAAAACTTGAAGGATTAATAAATATCTTACGAGATGTTTGTTCCTTACTTTTGACTTTTTACGTCTTTAAGAGGGCTTTTTTCTATCCCCATTATAAGTTCGACAGGCTTACAATAGAGGGCCAGATATGACACGAGAGGTAAGGCAATGCACCTCATCTATTAAAGAATGGTGTCTCTTGATAGGATTTCTATAAGTTGGCCTCTATTACCCAAAAAAACTTCACGTGTTCGGCCAGTTGGGGTGCGAACTCGCGACTAAATAGAGGGGTTTAGTAGTTTTATCT